TATACACTATCCTAGAGTAAACTGCCTGAAAACCATGCCCTTCACAGCGGCACATACCTATATAGCCCATAAATGGCAGTACCCCCCCGGGCTTTCCCATTTTCCCCCAGAAACGCTTGATACTCAGGATACCGTCAAACGGAATAAAATTTTACCGTCAACCGTCAACAAATAAAATGCAGATTAATATTAACCGTTAAAAAGATTCAATCTATCTCAAATCTCACTATTTCTACTGATCTTCATGGACGTCTGGCTCCTGAAGAATCTTTAAACTGGAAAATTAAGTTCCCTGTGCTCTTGAGAACACTCTCAAAACTGAATGGATAATGCAATTCTAGAGCTCTGATTGGCTTAGCCATCATGGTACGTGAGCTATGATACCATGCTCTCCCAATATGGTAACTGTACGCAACTGCTCGAAATTAAAAACAAGCTGAAAATCTGTTGTTTTTAGAAATAAAGTCAGGAAGAATTCTCGATATTTTGTGGGCGTTTTAAATGAAACAATTATACCACTCGCACTTGTTGGATATGAGATGATTATAGCCAACTATGGCTGAGAGTTAAGGTAAATGGAATTAGGTTGTGTACGGCGGTCCACTTCGCAAGAAATAAAATAAAACTAATCAAAAGAGTCGCGAAAACGAACTTTTCCGGTACAAACTTTATGCATGTACGATAGCCTGTTTGTCATTTATATCGCTCTGTAAAGGAAGTTTTACAAATGTTACCGCTCGCTGTCCCCTTCATAGAAATCGGAGGAAAGCAAAAAATTACCATAGCAGTATCTGTGACAAAAAGAAAACCTTGGAAAACTCTTCGTTAATTGGTTAATCGTCAAGAGATATAAAAGGCCGCCCAAGATCGCGCGCTGTGAGGTTACGCATAATTTAGCTCTTCACATAGCGCTAATTTATTACACCCAGGATTTTAGGGTGTACGAGGGGACTCGTGAGCAGCCGATGCCAGGGCCTTTTCCCGCCACACCCATTTTTTAAGGGAAAAGCTCTGGGGACGAGGCTGATGAGATGATTATAGCCAACTCGGCGCTACGCGCCTCGTTTTCTACCACCGTCTCATATTACAAAGGAAATAGGAGACGTCTGCACGCAGGCAACGTCTCATACAGCTATTTCGAGAAAGGTTGTCGGAAAAAAATGTGCACGCTACAATTCCGAAAGGTAATATGTGATACGATCAATACACGTTCCCTGACACTATAGCTGTCGAACCTACTTTTGTTGCTTTAAACATACGTCCATTGCCGCTCGTGCCAATATTTCAAATTTCTTTGAAAAACAGTGAACTCAAAACCAACCACAATACCTTTCGGGATTGTCGCGTGCACTTTTTCCAGCAACCTTTCACAAATAGTTGTATCCAACGCGCACTCGTGGAATAATTGCAAAATACAGAAGTAAATATTTACTTAAAAGTCTCTTGGACTAAACTTCCACTTAATAACCGTCAACTGTCAAAGGCTCTAAAATTTAACCGTGAACCATCAAAGCTACCACCCTATTAAGACAGTCGTTTATTTTCAGATACATTTAAGACCATACCCTGTGTGCCAGATACTTTTACCCTGGTAGGTATGTGGTATTTGACCGTCAATAACGGCGGACTTTGGGCGGGAATTTTACAGTGTTCCAGGAGAGTGTATACTCAAGTAACGTATTGCCTTCTTCCCGAAGCAAAGGTTATTCACCCAGGGTTTAGCGCGACATCCTCGTTTAGCCCATACATACGATGCCCACTGCATGTGTGTAGTACTTTCCAATAGACGGATTCATAATGACGTCATTATTTACATTTCTGCACATTAGCATACGAGTTAAAGCATAGGAGACGTAGCCGTTTATTCAAATTAGGTTCAGAAATTGAAAGAGCTGGTTAATTTGAGCAGCTTGGGCAAGTTTCAGCTCTTTCAATCAACTTGAACAAAGTAAATAGCAGCAAATCAAAAACTGCGTCGAAATTGCTGGCACTCCGAGGATGGTGTTCCTGTGGTTAAACCGCTGACAAATGTGATGGCAAGCACTTCATGTACATACAAACAATTCTTTGTCGAAGTGAAAACTGAAAATTATTAGTATTTCGAAATGGCCGAAGCTGGTGCGGATGAGGATCACTGGCGATGTACAGAATTCCGCCTAAAAGTTATTTCTCAAATGTAAGTATTCTTTATTAAGCGTAAGATAAAAAATTTCATTTTCAGATGATCTTTTCAAAGTTTCAAATTATTGTGATTTTTTAAATCTATCGTCCGTGGCGTGACAACGAAGTGGCGCGCTTTTCTTCCCGGCAACTTATTTGCATCTCGTTGACTAACAAAGTGTCTAATGTGTTTGCCTCGTTCTTTAAACCATTTCAGCAAGTAGCCGGATATTCTGAAGTTGCTTCCTTGTTTTTTACTTACAACACATTTTTAGATTTCTATTTCCCAATCGCAAGTTACATAATTGACTTACATGTGTTGAATCTCTCTTGTCCCTTCCCGCTTTAACAGAACAGTCAAGGCACCCGTCAGATATCTAAATTAGAAAAATCAAACACGGATTCTGGGACTCGTGATTTCAGAGGATTTTTGAAGCGGGACACGAAATGGTTTTTTTTGGCAGGGGAAAGCTTATTTTCGTGACGCGGTGATACAGTACGGTATCTTTGGTGTCCGTGAATCGTGATGTGCTGGAAAACTGTTCTGTGAATCGTGATTGAAGTGCACTTCGTGAAACGTGAACTGCCAAAATGCTAGAAAATTATCTGAGAGAGTGCTTTTGATGTTAAGAAAAAGAAGCCTAGGTTAAACTTTAACCCTGGGTTAGCACTAACTGGCGTTTGAACAACTGGGCCCTGGTGGCTTGATTTAACTTCACGTTTGAGTCTTTTGATGAAACTTCACACTTCAGCGCACTCAGACCCACCTACAGCTGGCTTCCCTAGGGAATTTATAGCTGCGCAGAGATCACCCAACCATGATGCCGAGATCAATGGTTAATAATATTTTTTACACTATTGGTTTCGCAATTCGTGAAACACAAAGTTGTTGTTCATGCACTCGTGACACATCCCCCTCCCCTCGTTATTAGAATAATGATTCCATTTTTCTAAATTTGGCAAAGAGCTTTCATTTGAATTTGACACAGGCTATTCATTCTTTCCTTGACACTGTCAGTGGTTGTTGTCCCTGGTTCTTAGTCCTCAATGATGAGGACGTCTGGACCCTTTGTGATACAGTTTTTGGTAGTGTATCTTGAGGATTGGGATTAACTAATAAAAACTGCCAGGATGGCAAAACTCTGGGGCAAATTTTGGTCAGGATGATGGGATTAAAGTGACGCCCTCTTAGGGAGTGATCATCCTCCCTTGGCGATAATAATTTTTAAAATGCACCCTCTCCCCCACCTCTCCTAGACCAAGTTTTAAGATTATTAGTTTTACTCTCCTTTCTTCCTTGGACAGTGACTCCATAAGTTATGATACCAGGGGTACTTGCCGTTTACATGGGAAAACCGGAAATGCCGGTTGTAAAAATCAAATGGTTTGTGCTGAGACTTCTGAAAATATGGGCTGTGATTTGAGGAAATGCACTTTTACACTTTTAGTGTGCTCAGCTGGTTTGAATATACTTTGTAGTGAGTCATAATCTTACAGCTTCCAATTTTATGGTTCTTTGGCATGTATTTTACTTGTTTTAAACTTTCTATAATAATTTTTTTTTTTCAGTGAAGAGGCAATGAAGAGCTCAAAGGATCCAAACATGTTCATGAAAAGCCCTACTGAAGTGGAAAATGCAGTGTACAACAAGTCTAAAAGAAAGGTCTTCTATAGTTTGATACGTTTACAGCAGTGGCAACATTCTGTTAGATGAACTGGGAGAACAACCAAATGTTGTTTGTTATCAAAATGAAATATGCACATTTGTGTGTAATCCAGCAGACTAAAATACCCTTACATCTAAAGTTTATATAGCAAATAACCTAGTAGAATTTGAAAGCACAACCAAAAGATCCAGTAAAATATGAAAAAGTTACTGTGAACTTGGAAAAATTGAACTTCTTTATCAAGTGTGTGATAGAAAATAACGTTTTGAAATGTAGCCTGCAGTGCAGGCGTTTTCATCGGGCGCTCGAATGGTTTTAATCGCGAAAGCGCCATGTTGAAACTCCCCATCTTCCTCTGTCATAAAATCAAAGATGGCGGCTTCATCATAGCGATATGATTAACAAACTTTCACCCACCCAAAATATGCCTGCAGTGCAGGCTATTTGAAATAGCACATTAGTTTTATTTAAAAAAATACTAATTACTGAAATAAAGGGTGTTTTAACAGGTTATCCTGTAGCTTTATGGTACATTATTTTATAATGTCAAGAAAATGATAAATAACCTGGTCACTTGTGGCAAGCATAGCAATCATTCCAGTGTGAGCAAATCACAAAATTTTGTGCAAGAGAAAAAAAAAGAACCTTTTTAGAATGTAGTCCAGTGATCTCAAGTGTGAAATGTCAATTTTGGAGAATCAAGGGGTAGGGCTGCTAACTTTTCTTTTCTTCCCCTCTCTCACTCTCCTTCTCGGCAGGGAAATGTTTTTATCCCAGCTTGTTTTCTACTGTCGGTTTCATGTATAGTTTTAGTGTGTACATGTGACAAAAAACATGTTCTGGTGCAAAGATGACATGTGTGGCCTCCAACCATTTGAAGTTTGATCAAGTTGCACAGACAAGTGTTTATGTGCAAAGTAGGTCATTGTTCGGTGGCTTGAAGCATCTGACCTGATTTGTGTCCTTTCAACAACAGGTTGAGTGCAAGGATTTATAATGGGGATGTTAAGAAGAAGTTCTACAGTTCAAGTGTGTTGTTTCTGGATGAGAAATGAAAGTCATTCCCAAATAAGGAGCAGAATGTGCTGATCAAAATCATAACAACCTTAATCCTTGGTGTGATGGTTTTCTTTTTATGGCCGCCAAACGTCTGATTTTTGGCAGTGAAACATGTATTTTTCGCACCCATTAGAGCATGTTTTTTTGTGACACGTCAACACTCAGATGCAACTGATAGTAATAACAGGCATTTGTTTGAAACCCTTGTAGTATCATTATTGGAAATGTATTTTAGTATTGGTTCATCATAGTTAAAGTGCTAAACCATTCTGCAAGCCACTGTCCACCACCTGTTGAGATTTATATGCTTATCTTTTGATTTGCTTCCCTTTCAGTTTGACTACCTTTTTTGGACTGCTTGTGTTTTGGTCTCAATTCGCAATAACCTTATGAGTAAGTGTTAGTTTGTTCAATAAATGAATGAGTATTGAGTAAAGGGCTCTTGATGGTTGGAATTCCTGGGGGTCACTCCATTATTTGGCCTAGAGGGTGTGTACCACTGAAAGGGTGGGTGTGGTTTTCAGGGTTTTGAGTCTTAAACAGCTTATAATTATTACAATTTCACTGTTTAAAGTCTTGAACAAGGAGACTGTTTGGACAAGGCATGAAGGTTGACAAAGTGCAAAATTAAATTAAAACAAAAGTTTGTATGAAAAACGAATTGAATCAGGGTGTACAATAATGTCTCTTAGCTTAAAGACGATCAGGGTTTGAACGCCTAGACAGGGCACCTCCACACAAACTTCCTCAAGCTTCCTCCTCTAGCTGGAGGCTAAGATAAGGAGTATCCCAATATTGTTATGGCAGCGGAAACTGGGAAATAATAATTCTAGACAAATTTTTCAGCTCAATACCCAAAATATGAACCCATGAAAGTTCTGGGACTTGCAGGGCTGGGGTTTTCTGTTTGGAGTCTGGTTATTTAAAGGTATCAGGGCCTTTTTTGGATGAAGAGAATATCCCAACATTTACAATGAAATCAGTGGTGATACCTTGGGGTGGGTATGCCCTCATATAGGCCATATATGTATGTGCCGCCCCTTAGGGTATGGTTTTTGCACTGTTTTGGTCTGAAAATGTGTATAGAGTTCACCCATTTTGGTCTGGAATCAGCTATGGGAACGACTGGAGTGTATTAACGTATTTGTTGTTTCAATTTCAAATGAATAAGAAAGAAAGAGTAATATGGGAATTAAAAATAGATTTTAAGAAATCTTTGTATTGGCGTTCTAATCTAAGCAATCTTGACACAATTACTTAGAGGCCAGGTCAGAAAATGGGTGTGGAAAATGACAGTTTTTGGTCTGGAAATAGGGTCAGGATTTGAAGAACCGGGCGGCATACCCTGACCAAGAATTGTCAAGTGTCCCCCCCCCCGCCCCGCCTCGCCCCTACGGAGGATGATACTTGCTGACTCCCTGGAGAACTATTACCAGTGCTTTACCCCGCATACTACTTTACCAGTAGTTTTATTTGGATTTTGTTTTTCTCCAGCTGAGTCTACTAATTCAGAACAGCAACGGCAAAAAGAAGCGGCTAACACGCCTCCACAGATTGGCATGACAGCTAGAGTTAGAGAGAGTTCTCCTGGACAGTTACCAATGCTGCATAACCAACAGATTGCTGAAATGCTTGGTAGTTCACTACAGGAGGGTGATTTGAATACAACGCGTGTGACCGATTCCGTGATAAAAGGTGACTTGCATTCTAGGGAATTTCACAAGAAGGTTAATTCTCAATTCAGTGATGTAAGGAGAGTATCAAAAAAGCCAGATCATTCAAGGAAAGAGGCCAATACTTTGGGAAGTAAGTTTTATTCCGAAGCCAAGTCGGAAGTGGATGGCGTGACCTACACTGTACGTCCTCTTTCTTTTTGTCCAGAGGCTGGATTGTCTGAAAGCGGAGCACTCCACACGACCTCACAGCGTGGTGAAAAACCTCAAGTCTCTGTTTTTCCAACTGCTGTCAATAGTGATTGGCATTCTTCGTCCTTCCGTCAAAAGATTATTTCTCGAATTGCGGAAGTTAAAAGCAGTTTGGGGGGCCTAAGTGCGGGTATGAAGGAACCAAATCAGTTGGAAAATGAAGTCTTTTGTAAGGTTAAAACTAAGAAAGATTACCTTGTTAATATTGCTCGTGTCCTTGCTTCTCTCAAAGAGGTTAAGTTGAATGCAACAGCACAGCAGAACACACGATTGCCAAACCTGTCTCCTCAGCATTTTAAAACACAAGACATCATCAACATCAGGGTAGTGCAAGATACTATTCAACAAGTACCTAAGCAACATTTCTCCAGCACAAAGCTTTCTACTTCATCTCAGTTATCTCACCCTTCTGCAGCAGAGAAGGAGCACTTGACAACCACTGATGACTGGCGATCATTAGGGTTCCGTCAAAAAATTATCTCTCGCATTGCTCAAGAGATGAAGAAGTCAAATGATCCAAAGTTGTTTATCAAAAACCCCAATGACATGGAAAGGGAACTGTATTCTAGAGCCAAAACCAGAACGGAATATCTAAAACATTTTTCGCGCCTTATTATCTCTATACGTAAACCTAGGTCTGCTTCAACAGTACAACTGTAATTAACTAGTTCATAGCAGTACATAACTGAACCGGATTGTAGATCGATAAGTAGGCCGTGATTAATAAGTGAATTAGGAAGGATCCTTTCCTTTAAGTAAGCTTCTTTTCACTTTGTCTCGTCGCTATCTACCTGCGAGCTTAAAAATTTATCCGTGTTCATTGTTTAACAAAGATGCCGTATACTTCCGCTTTTAAACCCTGGGCTTATACACAGACTTCGTAAGGGGTCTTTGGAGTGCTTTTAAATGGGGCACTGTTTGTTATTAGCGGGGGGGCTAAAATACTTATTACCGGAATAAAAAAGCGTTTCAAACAAGCTACTTCATGCAAGAGCTGATCATAATACTTTTTGAATTTACTTGCTTTTTTAACCTTCAAAACATTGTGAAGCAATTGGTTCGAGAAAAACTAGAGGGCGGCTTATATAACGAGAGGCATTTTTTGTTTACAGGTAGATGGGCCTATAACTGGGGTGAGGGCTTTTAAGAGGGGAGGACTTATCTTATATCCGGGGTGCTTGTGACAGGATGTATTTTTTGTCTACAGGTAGATGGGCCCATAACTGGGGTGAGGGCTTATGAGTTGGGGGGGGGGGGTGGGCTCGTAAGCGGAAGTTTAAGGAATGGTGAAATATCTGTATCTGCACTTACATTTTTGTATTGTTTACGGTCGTTTCGCCAAAGTTCTGTTCGCTAACTTCTGAAGTCGTTTTGCGTACGTGTTGGGTCAGTTCCCTAACTGCTTTTGCCTGATCACTGGCTGAAAGAACGAGGTATATACATGCGTATCGCACTTTTTTGTATCATGGCTGAGAGAAGGCTCGTTTCGCTTTTTAGCGGAACGACATAAGACGTTAGCGAAACGACCGGTCACCATTTGGTGTCGCGCATTTGTCATTCTTTAATCTTCAAATATCTGATCTGGGAGGTCCTTTTCATAGAGACAGCATTTTCACCGGTTTAGGGTCATCTCGCCACTAAACCATCTCGCGAAGGTTCAAAACAGTGCTAAGCTAAGTATACTATTCTTAGTGGCGATTTCGTTGGTGGCAAGATGGTTTGGTGGCTAGGCGACCAGATACATTTTTACCAGTTAACTAGAAAAACGAGAAGAGTTTTGACACCCGAGAAAAAAGTAATAGCCAAGATAACGCACACTTTGTGCAACAGAGACTTGAATAACAAAATATCAAATCCTTCAGTAGAGCTTCCTAACCTAAATGTATTGAGCTTTTGTGCTCTTTTTCGTGATTATTTCTGTCCGTGTTTTTCCCCAAATATGCGCGAAATTAAGCATCTGCGACATATAGTTACGAAAAGGTAGAGTTTATTTTTAGTTCTCTCTAAATTGTCATTTACCAGATTGATTTCTTAGAAATGAATGTTAAAGATAAAGGCGTATTTGTCAACTTTCAGATTTCAGTTGAAATAAATTTATAGCAAATTTGGATGTTTTGCCTCTTACCATTTTATCGCGTATAATCTGTTTCATACTAGTAACACCTTTTCTCATAATTTTCTCACATGTTTTCAACTGGCGTATCTTACTAATTATTCACAAGTTTTTTTTCCAAGGAAGCGAATCAGAACATATTCTCCTGTGAGGAAACAATTTATGGGAGTGCTTGAGGGTAGATTTGGAAAATGCTGCGTACCTCTGAAAAAATTCTGGCTATGCTATGCTCACAGAAACGCGGATTAATCCAAGACCGCCCTTTCCTGAAAATTCCTCGAGTTACCCCAGCGAGGCCTTGTGTGTCGCTCCACAAACAAGATGGTTAGGCTAGAGGGGAGTAGGCTTTTTTGGCCCTTGGGATTTTTTCCAGCGACGAACCGACTGCAGGTCTTCATGTTTTTACTGCTCCTGTGCCGCAAGACAACAGCAAGTAAAGCCTGGATGTTTCAAACCACTTTCAAACTGCTTTCAAAATTCTCTGACAAATTCTTTGCATTGTTACGTGGAATGTTATAGAAGATGAAGAAAAACGTCAGAAGAGTCATCAAAAAAAAAAGTTGCTAGCGGTAAATATTTTCTTCATAAGCTCACTGCACTCATAATTGTTAACTACACCGGCACCCTTTTGCCACTCGCGTGGGTGAGGAAGTACTCTCCCTGAGTTAAGGGCTTACTCGGCGCAGGCTTACAAAATATTTTTCTTAACTACAAGTATTTTAACCTTCCCACACCGGCGCAAGTTGCTTCATAGCATTTTTGGGGAATTTTTAAAAAAACGAACAGTCCAAATTAAAGGACCCACATCCTGTCAATTTTTTTTAATATAAAGTCACCATTAAATGACCGGTAGTCTCATCTGCGTTTGTCTCGTCCCTAGATTTGTTTTCCAGCTAGATAACGCGAACTAGATTTAAGAATTTAGGGTTAGGAGACAAGTAATATAAATGTTTGTATTAGGTCACGAACATTTGGTGTTTTGAAAACAGCCCCTGTGTGGCCTTTTAATATGAGTTTTTTTAAAAGTTCCGCAGCGGCACAAAATGACAGAGAGACCATATCACCGAAGACCACGAATCCTCATTCTCCATTTTCTTGAATTCAAACTACTAGACCTTCGCTGTCAATTTCCAAACAATCAAATAAATCAACAAGATACTGGTCGAGTATTATTGCTTTCGAAAAGTGTGGGGTTTTTTTGCCAAGCTAAGGGGCCGACCATTTAACTCTTGAGGGGGGGTGGGGGGTGGGTGATTTTGAAAAAAAATTTCCTGCAAGCGCTTGTCGGAAGAAAAAAATCACATGCAGCACAAATGTAATAGAAAAAAAATTCTTGGGCTGCTGTAAGAAAGAAACAAAAAAATGTTGCAAAGCTATTTCATCATTCCGGGGGGCTTTAAACGGCTTGGAAACTAAAATTTCGAGGAAGTTTTTGGACTTTTTACATTCAGGGCATGAATTTTGCGTCATTTCAGGCCATGGAACCTAAAAATGAACCTAGCTAGCTGTAAAAAGGGGCAATACGGAGGAAATGCGTCCTAGCCGGCATGATCACATGCTGTTTACGGAAAATTCTCTCATCCATGTAAGGAAATTCTGTATTTTAAAGCCTCCCCTAGGGTATGACTCAGCAACTGAGGACATTTCTGCTACGTTTTCAATGTTGGTTAGCATGCAAGGATTTTTCCCATGCCTATCGTCAATGATTTGCTCACTGGTAATAGAGGGGGTGGCCCCAGAGTGGTTTCGCATTGAAATTGGCATGCAACAGAATTTCGCATGCCCTGTAAGTACAATTTGAGGTTCCGGGACCTTCTCACCCAGGCCGCGAGAAGCCTAGGTTCTAGTAATAAGTAATTCATACCCAGCAAAATCTCAGGCATGCCGGGCATTCCACATTCTCTGACATGCCCGGCATGACAAATTCTCTAGCATGCCGGGCGTGCCATAATCTGGGTCATGCCGGGCATGCCAAAATCGGTCCCTGGCATGCTCTCAACTCCTCTCAACGCACAGGTTATAATTCCTTGAATCTACAGATATTTTAAGCCTGGCTAAAAAAAAAAAAACTAAACAGATCACCGTGCTTATCTTTTGATGTACGGTTACACGATGACGTCATTGCTCTTCCATTTGGTTGTCCCAGCGAAGTTTCAATAACAAAAGCTCTAATTTTCACAAGAAAGTAAAACCCTGAGGGATTCTGCCGTAGTAATAAAACAGCGTCATCGTGGAGATGACCTGTTGGGGGATTGTAAAAACTCCTCACCCCTTTTAATGAGTCTTTAATAGGATTCCCATTTCACATTGCGAATAAAATGGAATTGACTGAAATCAGTAAAAAGAGAGACAGACACTATTTTCATTGTATAATAGAATGCATCTATGTTCCATGAAAGCTTTTAAAAATACAAGGTTATAGAATATCTTTCAAAGTTCATTACAAACTGAGCTAAGCCCCAAAATCATTGTTCATTTTTCAGTAAATTATGATGTTTGACAATGCAATGTGCTTGAATATAACGTTGCAATTACAAATCTCTCTAAAGCAAATTTCCCTACGTTAGAAAAGCTGTTTTTATCTTGTTTCACATTTTGATAAGGAGTCTGAGTTCCTCTTTCTTGTTTTGTAGGCTTGCCAGGGATTAATGTTTTTGTGTCATTACCAGTGTCTGTTTTCTCTGTTTTTAACTCAAAGTAAGTCAGCAATAACTGACAGTATCAAAGAATTGCTCTCTAGAAAAGTAATTATCTCCTCGTCATGTCTGGAAGTTACCTGTAACAAAAAAGAAATGGAATGTTAACACATGCAAGGGCAATATGAGAAAAAAGAAAAAGAACATGTAGAGCTCAGCTTCTCTTAACATATTTTCATACTGGCTTGTTGAGTCTGTTAAAGGTCGCAACTGCTAATTGTCTGAGGCTAATTTCACAAGAGTGTGCAATTGAGATAAATGCATGGTAAATAAAGTGAAAGAAACGTGGTTTCACATTAGCCAATTTACATTGCGTTGTTCGATGATGTTTACACGCTCTTCTACTGCGAAATAAACCTTTGCATTTGGATTTGCAAGTCAAGATTATACCGAGTTTGACTGGCTTAATTGAACAACAGTTTCATTTTTAAGCAGGTAAGGTGTAGACCCATATAAAGCCGAAATATGTAAAGGAAACTCAGCGAAAACTTTTTTTCGCATCTTTTTGTGGCGATATTCTCCCACGGCCCGTCAACTGATTAGGGGATGCGAAGAAAAAATAAATTAGGACCAAAGGTTAAAGCCTGTCCGTTTACACCATTTGGTATGTTACCTAGAGTTCTAATAAATAGGTCATAAAATAGGATTTAACGAGAGCGAATTTGTTTCTCAATCGGTGTATAAAAAGTGTGAAGCTATCAAATGAGAAGTTTATAGAGTATCAAAATTATTAAAGTAAAAGCTCATATAATTAGGAAAATTCCTATGCGAAAACAATGCTAGTGACATTAAATTGATCAGATAAAATTCTGAGAAAATATGTCGAATAAAAGCCTCATTGTTTGCTTTTGTTTTTGCGTAAAGGTAAATTTTTCGGTCC